ACTTAAATCAGGTTCACTTATATCTTCAGTGAGGCGACCAACAAATATTTTGTGAGGTACTTTAGAATAATATCCTTCCTAGTAAAATATAACATTAAAAGTTATGTTTTTAAATCTTTATACATGACTGGAAATTTTATTTTATCGGTATTTTAATATTAAAATAATATTTTAATCTACACTTTTTTTTCTTTTAGCTTAATTACTTTTAAACACTTATAAACTTTAAACAAACTTGTAATTTAGACAAATTGGTAGCACATATTAATAATAAGTATATATATATGATAATTGGTAATGTATTCAGGCTAATAAATATACTTAACAAAAATTACTTTTGAGGCAGGTATTTTGACTTCAACCCATCGATTATTAACATAATGTCGTTGACCAAGGGCTTTAGCCTGAGAACTATAATCTTCATATCGAATAAATCCAAATCCTTTAGAATTTCCAGATGCATCTCGCTTTATCTGGACATCGAGTAAGTTGTAATATACTTTTAATCAATTAATATAATAGCTATTAAATACCTGAACCATGACTAGTTTTCCGAATTGTACAAAATACTCTCGCATTTGAGTTTCTGATAGTTGATAAGGTAAACCAAGAACAATCAGATCCGTACAACTCATACTATGGTAACCTTTTGATGGTTTGCAATCAGTCTCTTCAAGTTTTCTCTTATCGCCTTTTGAGGAAAAATAATCATATTAAATTAAATGCCCACCAACGTACAGGACAACTTAAATTGGGATATAATTTTATTATTAAGTAGTTAGTAGTTACACACCCTTGGGATGGACACAATAGAATTTATGACCAGCCCAACTGCCTTCAGGAGCGTGAAATTTACCGTCGTACAGTCTAAGTGCTCTATATGGTGAATATGAATCGAGACGGAACTTGAGACCTGTGACTCCAGGAAAGTATGCGCTCAGTGTAGCTGTTGAAAGAGTACCATCACTTTCCAACGGTATCTCCATAAAATCTTCCCCTTCGCATTCACATACTGGAATATACTTTTCTATGTTTTCCATTGTTATATTTACAATATTTTACTAGATTAAAAGCGTCAAATTTAAGCCACCAGGATTACTGATTATTAATAAAATAATTAATACAACAATCGCTGTTATTATGATTTATGGAAACGATAATAGCAATAATAATATAATATTATTAAAATAATAACAGTGAGTAATAATGTAGCATAAATAAAAATAAATGTAAATATTACAAACTATATTATAGTAACAAATAACAATACAATTTACCTACATTAGTGATTATCAAGATTTTATCGAACACAGTGTTTCAGTTGTGTGTTTAAGTTGTCGGCACTGTATCGTATTAACCTCAAACAGTTGTTACGGTTCGATTCTGTTAGAGCAAAGCAAAATAACAAGTCACTTAAAAAATATTATATTCTTTAACAGATACAGATTACAACTTACAAATTACAATATTTGCTAATCATTGTTCTATAATTTTTTGATTTTTCCAATTTTTAGTACCTATTACTACAGACAATTAACTTCTTTTGCTGGATTTAAAATATATAAAAAGAAACTAATTCTAACACTATGGTAAGTTCAATTATTCATTATTTTTATTATTACATATTATTAATTTCTGATTTTTATTACCAAAGTTAGTGCTAAGATGTTACAACGTTATTGAATGTAATAAAAAAATCGTTATTATTCAATATATAGGTACTTTTGTTTCGTTGTTTACATTTCAATAGAAGATTATTTTTATTTAGAAATTGGGAATATGCCATTTGAGTATTCAAATCATATTCAATAATAATAAAAGTTATAATCTTCATGGAAATTAATTCCAATATTAAATACTTAATATTTATTATATTATGATATGGTAATGATTTAAATTGTTTATTATTCTAATGTTTTTCATCGTCATCAAAATAATTCACAGAATCTATATAATTTTAATTATTACAATTTTCATACTTATTTAGTATAGGTATTTTGAAAATTTAACTAATACTTTGTTTTAAATAAGTTTTTAAATTAAATATTATATTTTTTTAATGGTAAATTATCTTAAAGTACATATATTTATGTTTTTAAATCAATATATTGCATGTTTGAGGTATATTCAAATTAGTTTGTCTTGGTTTTAAATTTTTATTCCCCTTGATTTATTTTTAATTTATTTCAATTCTTGTTTCAGTTTCGTAATCAGTATGATAGCGATGTTACAGTATGGAGCCCCCAGGGCCGCTTGCATCAAGTGGAATATGCTATGGAGGCTGTAAAATTAGGTTCAGCAGTAGTTGCATTAAAGAACAAAACTCATGCAGCTATTGTTGCTCTCAAACGTGCACCAAATGAACTATCAGCTTATCAAAAAAAAATTATTCCTGTAGATGATCATATTGGATTCTCATTCTCTGGTTTATTGGCTGATGCCCGCATTCTAAGGTAAAACTCATAAGTAATATTTTATGCCGTGTCTACACATATTTATGATTGATAAGATAAAGAACATTTGACCATACATGAATAAGCAATGCTTTTATTCGAACCTATTTAATGGTTTACTCTTCAATTTCCTATTTCTGTTTTACTTGTTCAACTTTTTTTTTAATTTAAATTATTTATTATTAATATAAATAATATATATTGAAAGTTAGTCAAACATTTGATTCTTATTTTGATTTTCAAAATTATTTGTAAAAGTATAAAAATATATATATTTTCATGATTTTTTGTTATTGTCATATTTTAAATGTAGTTGACTAAAATACCTACAAAAATATTAAATACATAGTTTAATACTTCGAAGCAAAACTGTCCATTCAAGTAGGCAAGAGTGTCTAATAATGGCTTTTGAGTCTAGACTGTATTTATCACTTCTAAATGAAACTTATAAACAATTTAAGTATACTAGATAAATATCGATTAACTACAATAATATTCCTGGCCGTTGTTAAAAAACAATATTATAAACTATTAATTCCCTAGTTTTTTAAAAAAAAAATACCTTTTTCAATAAGCTCCAAGTTTTTGATACTGAACAGCTATTCTTCATCTTATCGACCATGGCCGTGCATATAGACAGATAATATTTAAAATGTTTTAATTTTAAAATTTATTATAATAACTTCTGAAACTGAATAAATTGATATTCATCTTAATTTGTTTGTAGCAAGTATATGAGATCAGAATGTTCTTCACATAAGTTTGCACATGGTGATGATCTTCCAGTAAACAGATTAATGACCAAAGTTGGTAACAGAATGCAATTGTGCACACAACGATACGATAAACGCCCATATGGAGTTGGTTTACTTGTGGCTGGTTATGATGTGAGTACTTAATACATATCAAATTCAATTTTATGGCTTAGTGTATCAGGGTCATGTCAAAATTCATTATTATTGTTATTATTGGGTGTTTAATTTTTAAAGTTTTAATATTTCATTCCATAATATGAGTCTTTATAACTATAATCTAAATTGTCATGTATATAAATAGTGGCTAAAATTATATAATTATAATTGTTCTTTTTGCATCAAGTCACTGTGTGATCCAAAAAGTTTATAGTTTAATAATTGATTTATGTTGTATTAGGATAATGGTCCGCATATTTACCAAACATGTCCTTCTGCAAACTACACAAATTGTAAAGCTATGGCTATAGGCTCACGATCACAAAGTGCTCGTACATACCTTGAAAGAAATTTAGAAGCATTTAAGGAAGCAAGTTTGGAGGAATTACTGAAACATGGTATGAGAGCTTTGAGAGATACTCTGCCCAATGATGTTAATCTAACTTCAAAGGTATATATTATGTATACATATATTTTTTTTATTTTATCCTTAATTAACAGGATTGTTTTTAATTTGTATCAATAATTTTATAGAACGTTTCAATTGCTGTCGTGGGCAAAGGTCATCTATTTGAGATTTATGATGAGGAAAAAACTCAAGAAAAATTATCATTAATTGAAGGTGAGGAAAGAAGAGCTCCAGTTCCAACAACCGATTCATCAGGTGGTGGATCTCAGCCACCACAAGACGGTCCGGGTGCTCCTCCGAGTGATTCTTTACCAGCAGTTGCAATGGAAACAGAATAATTTTAATGAAACTTAAGTTAAGAATATACATTTTTTTTTTTTACTAATATGTCTCAATTAATTAAAAAAAACATTGGTTACGAGATTTTTACTTTTATTTATTTTAAAAACACAATTATAAATTACTTAACAGTAATATGCTTTGGTATACATTTGTTTATAATTATTTACAGATTTTTTCACATATTTGATAGTAAACTTGATTGTTGAAGATTATTGCCTAGCACTCCTCTTTATTAACTTGGCAGTAATTTTAATTTGATAACTATTATTCTTAATATTATGAGGTGCACACTTATAAAATATATATCTTTTTTATCAACATAGAGAATAATATTGGGGGAACAAATAGTATGTCATTATGAAATAAAACTATCTTGATTATTCCAAGTACATTAATATTTAAACATTTCCATCAGGTTAAATATATTTATGATCTACATTTGAAAATTTATTTAAACAATTTATATTTTAGCAATCATGTTTAAAATTATAATATGCCAAGGGAAAAAACACTTGCAATACACGATTTAATTATTTAATACATATATCCACAAACTCACTTTAATTTTATTATATATGTTTGTGTTCAAGTTAAAAATATAATATTGTCATGTTTTTATCTGTCTTGTGTAAAACACTAACATTCTAAATTTAGTTTTATAATAATACATTTGGACCATTTGGTGTGATTATTAATTATTAGGAAATCACAATGCCAAATCATATTTCATTTACAAATTTGTATTCAATACATTAATCATATTATCATAAATTCCATCATTAATAATTTCATTTTAAAAATGCACTCTGTCATATTTACACAATTTTTCAAATTTAATACAAAGGACGTTATGATAATGTTTTAATAACGATAGTATATATTTATTTGAATTTAAATACTAAGTAATAATAACATACTGTTTGCAATGTACGAAGTAAACAAAAAAAGAAAAAGAAAGACATTTCAACATTGGGGGAAGCATACAGCCCGACAGCACCCGGATGTATTCATCCGGTCTAGACCAACGTGTCTAAAATCCGACAACCGGTCGCATGGTGGTGGGGTTGGTGGATTTCGACCTGGTTCTGCGGGTTTTGATGCTGCGTTTGCAAAAGCTCGATGGATCCCATCAGGTATTCGTTCTCACTGTCCACGATGGCCGCCTCGTACTGCAACTGTTCTATGTAGCCCAGCCTGGCACGCAGTTCGGTGTCTGTATCGCGTATCAGTAGGGTGTTTTCTCGGTACATCCGTTCGGTGTCGGCCAATTCCATTTCGACCCGTTTCAGTTCATCCAGCAGTTGCTCTTGGTCCCTACATCGTTCTACATTCACGTACAACCGGATCAGCCGTTCCTCGTATTCGTACAACTTCTTGTTGATCTTAACGATCCTTTCCAGGTAGGCAATGGCTTCTTGCGCGGACGATGACGACGGACTGCTCGAATCTGTGATCTCACCGACGACTCCTTTTCCCCTGACATCACAACCCCTGTCGTCGTCATTTTCGTCATCGCGGTCGTCGTTCTCCACGCTGGCGCCCTCGGTGATGCCGCTGTCTTTTTCCTCCTTGTCGTCGCCGCATCCGCTACCGCCCAGGTACGCGTCTAACAGGTAATTCGATCCCAGCTCGTCCGCCCGGTTCCTGTGCGTTTCCGTTTCGATCTTCTCGATCTTCTTGTCGCGATCCTGCAACTTTATCAGCTGCGCACGGATCGTATCGCTCTGCTTCAGTATGAGTTTCAGTAGCTCCTCGGCCGCTTGCGTGTTGCTCAGCCGCTTGGGGTGCACCGTCCGCGAGGCGTACTTGACCACCACCTCCCGGCGGCGCTTCCTGTGAGCGCCGCGGTAACCGCTCATCTCGGATGTCGCGTCGTCGTCGTCTCCGGCAACGCTGTCAACGGTGTTGCTGCCACGGTGTTTGTGTTGGTATCCATTACCACTCACTTTTCGCAAGCACAGCTTTTGGTCCGGCCGCAAGCTCTGCCAGATCTTCAGCACCCTGACGCCGGGGTCTGCCACCATGGTGGCTGTGTGCGCACCGTCGACGGCCACCGCGTAGTCACTGCCGCGGCCCGTCAACGTGGTCGCCACATCGGCGCACGTAGTACGCCGGTCCGCGTCGTTGATCCAAAGTTTTTTGTCGTAAAGCCATATGGGAATTCTGTCGGTCGTCATCTCCTACAACAAAAACACAAATTATAAATTAATATCAAAACTTTGTAATTTGAAAATCACGATATTATACTTCATAATTTTAATAATGTATTATAATGTATATGAACACAAATTCACGATATAGATACAATAAGATGTGTTAAGTAACGTATAGACCGATTGGATATTTGCGGAAAAAAAAATTATTGGACTTCTCTGGTACAAAAATTAAGTGTGTACAACTGTACAAGTGTTTAAATACCGGTGTAAAAAAAAGTTAGAGCTTGCAGAAGATAATTTTTTTTTTTTGTATTTAAAAAAGTTATTTTGATTTTTAAATATTATATTATTCTGTTATATATTACGCGGATATAATTCGTGTTCGATTTGAAGAAGAGTAAACCTATAAGATGACATACTTATTATTAGTATACACGTATGTTTATTTTTAATTCGTTTTAACTAGGTACGCGTGTTAAAAATGCTACACTATAGGTACTGTACGTTTCCGAAAGATGTGACATGTTTAAACGCATTTTCAGTTTCCCCCGTAGATAGAATATAGGAATCTGTTTCTTACGTTTAAATATACCTAATAAATATATTCTACACTTTAATTCGGTTTAAAACCATTGAGATTCGAGTGACTCAGTATAACCAAGGAGATCGGTCTTGCACAACAAGCATTCGTGTGACGTGTGCATTACAACTACATAAATATTGTTATATATCTCAGTCCATTTTATTAGTTTTGTTAATGCATTACAATAATATCTACAGCCTTATAGGTATATAATAACAGTATTTGCGATAGTGTCAACTCGACGTTTGCAACTGTCTATTTAATAATAAGTAAAATAAGTTAGATAATTAAAAATTAAAAATTTGATGTAAATATGTTTGAATCCGAAGACGTGTGCTTTCACGTGATATTTATGTTATGAGAATTGGTTTGTTTTACCAACGGCAAACCTAGATTACCTGATTTTTTTATTTCAGATTAAAGTAGACACAGAGAACGATGAGAGCAAAATTCAAACTGTTAATAAAATACGTATAGGGATTAAAGAATGTTCAATATTACATTCACATAGGCGTAACTAGACCTTAAAGTTAGGGGGGCTTCAGCCCTAGAATTTTTATTATAAGTAAATTAAGTGGGAGGCTCTGACCCCCATACCCCCCAACACCATACATTCATTGATTATACATATAATATGAATGTAAATTAATAATTAATTATAAAACAAATAATAAACCAAGTGGTATTGAGGTTAAATATTTATATATATATTAACGTATTATTAAGTATTATTTTAGATATAAAGAAATTTAACGATTTTTAGTTTATTGACAACTTCTTAGTTAGAGAGTATTTGTGTAGTAAAAATTACACAACATGATGCGTCTTACACAGGATCATTACATACAATAATATAGTTTAAATTAATATTTTTCAAAGATATTAAATAAAAAAAATAAAGCAATATTTTAAATTTAAGTTTAAAAATGTTACTAATATTGGCGGGACTGTGGGACTAGGAATTATGACAGGGGGGGCTAAAAATTATGTTGGGGGAACTAAGCCCCCCCAAGTCCCCCCTAGTTACGCCTATGGACATTCAACGATTTAAATAATCACAGACGCTTTCTTCCACAAAATGTTCTTATTTTTAACAAACTCGTCTATAGAAGTACATTGGATATCAGTGGCGTAGCCAAGGGGAAGGCTGAGGGGGCCGTGCCCCCTCCCGAAATTTTAAGAAAATTTAAAACTTATTGTATAATACTATATTAAAATAAAATCAATATATTGTTAAGGGTTATAGGAACAAAAATCTATAATAAAACTTCAACATCTGCATGTTCAAATTATGGAATAACCTAAGTAAACCACAGCTATGTAAAAAATTGATCACCCCCCACCCGAACAAAAATCCTGGCTACGCCACTGTAGGATATATTATAAACATATAGTATATTGATATATTACGTTCAGGAAAACTTAAAAATACTTTTTAACACTAATATCTGTATTGTTGAAATAATTATTTACTGCCTTACACTAAAAATGTGATAATTCAAAATATAAGTAGGTATGTAGAAACGTGACTTTATATTACAGTGGCGCAAGTTGCAAGACACTTCAATTTCATTTTGTATGGGTAATTATTTTTGTTTTGTTTTTTTCAAAAATATTTTGATTGTATGATAAAAAGTCTGATCGATTTCACGATTTTGAATTATAGTGATTTTTTAATATTTTAACTTTTGTATTCTTATCAGAATATTAATATTTTCCTTTTTCGTCGTCGTCATCATTATTTATTATTGTTGGTGCAATCGAGCAATGGCAGTACCGCATGAGTGAAAGCCAAACGTTTTAAAACAGACCGACGCGGCGTGGACAATAATAATAACAATTATTATTGTGTATTATTAGGAAGACCACTGGGAGGTAAAAACGTGTCTGAGATGTGAACACCTACCTATCTACGAGTTTTTTTTCAAGATGTAAAAAGATAATTTTTGGTTTTCGAGTAATATTTTTCTACGCGTACCTAGATTTTTTTCTTTTCTATTAATCCAATCGTACGCAGAGGCAACGAGGCGCGTCATATAATATTCACAAATATATTTCATTAAAATTTTTTTTTTTAGTTTTTCACAGGAAACCACATATCACTCTATTCATCTGTATTATTATATCTATCAAATGATTTACTCGAATCTACATTATGTGTGTGTGTGTGTGTGTGTGTACGCGTGTGTTTGGTTTTCCAGTGGATTTGACTTGAACAAAAATTCTAGTTACATAGATTTCTCCTGCAGTATTACAATTTACAAACACCTAATATATATTTATACTTTATTTATTTCGGTTTGTATTCGCATAGCGTACCTATCAGGTTTCTATAATATAGTTACTATATTATATTTATAATTTATATATTATACAGCTATACTACACGTCTACCTAATGGACTTTCTACGAATAATAATAATAATAATGATAATAGTAATAAAAATGAATCGGACGATTGTACTGGATGAAGTATTAATGAAGTAATAATTAACTATGTGATATCGTGGATACAGAAATGTAATTTATTTTGATTTTCTATTATTTGCTCCCGAAAGATGTTTTCTCTTGTGTGAAACAATAGTTTCCTAAACTAAACCGGATATAATCATTATTATTTTGTGTACTATAGCATAATATGTAATCAGAAAATAAACAATTTCTATATGACTATATAGTATATATATATATTTATCATAGATACATGGTAAATATTATTATTATGTCTTAATTCTTAAAACACTTGTCATTTTGAGCAAATAACAGTCTTAAAATTTAATATGAGTTATATAATATTATTTTCCAGGGATACAACGACTGATGTACACACCACATTATGAAATTAATCGTTGTAGGCGTGAAAATGTGAAATAGAATCGATATTAAAAACAATTAAATATATATATAATTTATATCATCCGGCAACCATCAGTTTCAGTTACGAGTATATTACACCCAAACGTATTTAAGTTGGAAAACCACATCTCGTCTATTTTTTAGTGCACGTTACAGTGCAAGACGAATTATTATTAATAAATAATAATTATCGTCGCGTGAAATTGCCTAAATATATATATTACTGTATTGCGGCGAGATGATAATCACTCGATTATGCATGGATTGTGCACCCGAATGCAGGTATTGTTTTCTGTGGTGTCTAAAATATATTCCTGTAATATTCGCGTGTTATGTACGTATTCAGTATACACCACTCATAAATATATATATATGTATATATATGTATTATAATAACATCACATTGTATTGTGTAGTCCGAAGTGGTGCTTATATTACATGTTTTATACACGCCACGATTTATAGAAGTCATAATATAATAGAACGAAACGTCGTGCGTATTTCCCATAGTGCAGTGTAAGTAGGTACATATTATTATTATTATTATTATTATTATATTGGTCTATTATTATAATATATACATACACACACAGGCACACACGCATATATATATATATATATATATATATTATAATATAATATAATAATCTATCCCTGGCTGTCCATTGTTATTTTCGTGGGTACGATAATTATTATATATATATATGTCTATTGTAAAAGTTATGCGTATTATAGTACATATTATTTTATTCATGATTATATCCATGAATATATCACAATAATATTGTTATATATGTATATATATATTGTACTGTTGCAGCCGAGAGTAGTGTTTCACCGCGATGCTTGTACCCCGTCAATTACTTGTATCTATTTAATATTTAAAAAAAATTATTCTAGGACAATAAATTCTCATCTATCACTTTATATAATTATTATTTTAACGTTCCAACAACTATTTTCCATTCAGTGTTCGAGTACGGTAATATAATGTATTAAATCATATTATGTATACGTTTCAAAGTTTAGACAGGAGTGTATCAGTGAAATTTCCGCTAATGGATATCTCCGAATAACAAACAACATTGCAACGACCGAGAGTGTCTGGTATCTTGAGTTTTCACTGTAATAAATTTCTGATTAGGCTGTGGTGTATGATAACAAATACGATGTGATTGCACTCTGTAGTCTGTAGTCTGTATGCATGTATATAATAAATGTAGTTATATGTATTATAAAAATGCCCGGTGTTGAATCCAGGTATACTTCAAGGGAAATGTGCCCCTTTGAAATTTTTTTTGCATCCCCTGATAAATACAACTCAACAAAATGTACCTATCTATTAAATGCACAAATGCACAATCTCATATGATTCCCCCTCCTGAGAAATTGTTTGAATTCAACACTGAAAATGGCGTTTAAGCGTATAACTTTACGTTTTATATCTATACATATATCTGATGGGAGGGTTTATTTTTTTTAGTTTAAATGGAATACTTTTTTGAAAATCAGTTACCGTGTATAAAATATATAATATTGCATAATTTCGCGTGTAATCGAAATCAAAATAATTTTTAAGCCATAT